ATATGTGCTATAGAAGAGGGACCAGCAGTACTTGAAGGAAGTTTATATGAACATCATTGGAGCCGAGCGTATTATCATAGCGATGTCTAGTAAGCATTAAACAGAGCAATGAGAAGGGTGAAGCTAGAGCCAGACATATATCTAAATCTAGGTAGGACTGGTCTGGAATTCAGTTCTATATTGAGCATTATGTGCAGGGTACTCTGACTTACTCTGAAGGGACAGGGTTATCAAAGATAAATCAGACATTGCTTTCTTGCCTTCCAGAACCTGCTATAACAAGGGAAGACAGCCACGTAGGCAAGTAGCTGAATAACACAGGTTCTAATTAGCAATATATGTATGTGGTTGCTAAAGGGGAGAAGCAATTAATTTTGACTGGAGGATCAGTTAGAGAAGCAGAGAAAATGCAGCCTGAGCAAATTTGACAGAGAGTGAGATGTTTGACAAACTACGACAGACTTCTCAGAAAGTGGCTTGCAAATGGAAAAGACTCAAGTGATCATGAGGGAGAGTACCCCTATACAGCTAATACAACAAAGGGCCACAGCTAACAGACTTCTAGGTCTCCTGGTTCATCTTTCCAATATTTGTCTCATATCCCTTTAAATAACGGGCAAGAATTTTGAAAATGATGAAGCAGTGAGAAACAAAATAAGACTAAGGAGAATAATGATTTAATAAGGGATAAAGGCAGTGAAAAAATATTTTGGATTATTTGGTAGAGGAAGTTGTGATAGATTCAGAGATCAACAAAAAGATACTGATTGCTAAAAGAAGAAAAAGAACAAATGTTTTAATAGACTTAAGTAACACTAAACATAATTTATTTGCAATCTGGATTAAAACAATAGTTCCCCATCAGCTGATTTGAGATCTGTCTGTGCCCTGAATCAGGGCTTCGGAGCTCTGGCACTTGATACTGAAGATCACTGCTTTTCTTTAGTTCACTGTTTGCCTACGAGTATTTGGATTTGTAGAGGAATGAACCGTTCATTCAGCTCAATAATTAGAGTATTTGTCTTTTTCTCCTAATGTCATCTGACTGAAATTGAGATGTGTGCTCATTCCAAAATATCTTTACTACATTTCTTGGTTTTGTGAAAGAAAGCAATAGGACAATTGATGTCCATTTTCCTAGGAATTAAGATAGTAAAGGTTCGTTTGGCAAAGCTTGTTAAGTTCACACTCAACGTTTATATTTCAGAAATGCTGTCAGCAGCTCTTTGAATAGGAAGCTGACCCTGTGAGAGTAAGGCTGGGGCTAAGAGTACTTGCCAGGAGGTCTTTTCAGTAAGGAGAAATTAAAATGAATTATCTGTTACTCAAATCTGTACTCAAAGTATAGATCTCCCTGAGTTTAATCTTTAAAAGATTCATAGATGAATATAATATAGAAAAAAGGGCTCTTTTTTCCTTAACACAGCTTTTTGCTCCACTCCATGTTGTTGCTGTATCTTTCCACCTACTGTTAATGAAATATACGTTCTCTTTTTATTAAAACGTATGAAACCATTTTAGTGCATTGGCATATAGAACCATTTTAGTAAGAGAACCTTGCTTTAAAATTATATAATGTGCCATTTATATTACCATAGTGGTAACCCAAAACTAACCACTCATCCAGCTGTTAAAGGTTTCATTTGAGTTTTATTTTAATGTCAGTAAAAGGTTCTCATTGTCATTGATACTCTTTTCATATTACTCTCAGTTTATCAGCTTTAGGAAGTACCTTATATGTATTTTTCTCATTAAAAAAAATAACAAATTTGGGGGCTTTTGTTTGTTCTTTTGTTTCTTACTGTGGAAATATTTGCAGTGTGGAGTTTTAGTAAGCACCTGCACTTTGCATTACAAGGTCTTTACTTGCCCACATTTGGTTACTGCTCTATGAAGCCATAAAAAACAGGGAGTTGAGGGAAAGTGACAAAGATGAAGAAGGGATGAAAATAAGTTTTTTAAGGAAGAGTTAAATCTGTTTAGCTTTAAAAGGGGAGAAGGGGCACAATGCAAATAGCACTCACTGGACTGATGGACCAGATGTCCGGTTTTGAGGCCTGGCTCTACCATAAATGAGTGATTCACTGTAGACAAGTCACTCTACAGTACTAATCTGTAAAATGAGGGGATTTGACTAGTTTGGGGTCAACAAACTTTTTTTTTTTTTTAAGATTTTATTTATTTATTTGACAGAGTGACAGTGAGAGAGGGAGCACAAGCAGGCGGACTGGGAGAGGGAGAAGCAGGCTTCCCGCTGAGCAGGGAGCCCGATGTGGGGCTCGATCCCAGGACCCCGGGATCACGACCTGAGCCGAAGGCAGATGCTTAACAACTGAGCCACCCAGGCGCCCCTCAACAAACTTTTTATTAAAAGGCCAGCTAGTGGGCGCCTGGGTGGCTCAGTTGGTTAAGCGACTGCCTTCGGCTCAGGTCATAATCCTGGAGTCCCTGGATCGAGTCCCGCGTCGGGCTCCCTGCTCAGCAGGGAGTCTGCTTCTCCCTCTGACCCTCCCTCCTCTCTCTCATG